GCTTTTATTAAAACGTACCATACACCGTGTACAGTGGACCACATTTCTGCTAAAGACACGTGACAAAAGGGCCACACTAGCTTTGCTCTCCCCCTTGAGCTGACTGTGTTGGTGCAGTGGGTGCATTGTTTGGTGTATCCACATACCTTTTGTCACAGAGTCGTTCATTGTGTCAATGTGTCTCAGGTTGATGATCCTGGTATTAAACGAGCACTGATGGATGGTTTCCCCGGTGTGCTGGAGACTCCGGACCAACATGGACGAAAAATCCTCATCCTGTTTGCCTCCAACTGGGACCAGAGCAGGTACATACTCACAGCTGTGTTTTTTTTCTATAGCATTGAGGACACTCACTGATGTAATGCCTCCCCCTAGCCCCGTACCCTGACCTGGTTCTAACCTGCACTCTGAAACAGAAGTGGCACCAGACATGTCCACAGGAATGAATAAAGACATGCACGCACACACACACACACACACACACACACACACACACAGTCTCCGTATTCCGTACTGATTGAAAACAGAGTCTAATGAATCATGTCTTTACTTGGACTGAAAACACACGAGTCTATTGAATTCCCTGTTGTAGTTAAGAACTGTCACACTCAGTTTAACTATTGAGCTGCAGCTGATGGCACCAACACACAGTCCTTTTCCCACTCCCTCCATCAGGAACTCGTTCACAGACATCCTGCGGGCGATCCTGCTCTCTCTGGAGGTCCTGATAGAAAATCCGGAGCTGCAGATCAATGGCTTCATCCTCATCATTGACTGGAGCAACTTCTCCTTCAAACAGGCATCCAAGCTCACGCCCAACATCCTCAAACTGGCCATAGAGGGCCTTCAGGTAAACACGACAGGGTGTGATGGGGTCTCTTCAGTTTATTAGTCAAGATATATTCAGAAAATTTTCAATATAGGAAAATTAATAATTGGGTGTTAACATGAACAAGTTGGTGCTTTAAGCAAAGTGCTAACATGACGGTGTTCAGAAGGGAAACTGTTGATCATGTTTGCCTTAGTTTAGTGCGTTAGGATGCTAACATTTGTTGTTTTATTTTTACACTTATGTATTTCATTTTAAAAATCCCATTCTTCAGTGCATAACTTGTTTTCCTCATCATTTCAGATAAACTTTGTACTAAAGATATCAGGAAGTAGACAGGTCCTAGAAGAAACCTGCTCTAGAGTGCATGTCAAACAGCTAAAACAGAGTGAAAGGAAAGAAGAGATTTGTGGTTAAGAGGAGAAATTAAAAAAATTCTGGTCCTCTCCTCCTCAGGACAGTTTTCCAGCTCGGTTTGGAGGGATTCACTTTGTGAATCAGCCGTGGTACATCCATGCTATGTACACCATCATCAAACCTTTCCTCAAAGACAAGACCAGGAAAAGGGTGAGAACATGCACAGACAGTTTCACATCCTCATTCCTCCCATTTTCATCTCCTCACCTTATCCCCTTCTTCTTCTTCTTGTTTCCTCTCAATCTGTCTCTTTCCTATTTTATCTCCCGTCCTCCTTTAACTCCTCTTCATCCCTTCTCCTCCTCTCCTCAGATCTTTCTCCACGGTAACAACCTGAACTCGCTCCACCAGCTCATCCAGCCCGAATGTTTACCATCAGAGTTTGGCGGCACGCTGCCACCGTACGATATGGGCGTCTGGGCCCGAACGCTACTGGGACCAGACTACAACGACGAGGCCGAGTACACGTTGACCTATGACGCCCTGCACGTCAGGGAGAACTGTGGAGGAGGAGGAGACAAGGAGGTGATGAAGAGGTGAGGAGGAAGTGTGGGACATGAGGAAACAGGTGGACAGGGAGGAGAGATTCATGGGAACTCCTGACAAGGGTTCATAATAAAAACTCTATCTTACTGATTTCTACTTAAGTTGCAGGTGGTTCTTATATTTTCTATAATTATTCAAGCATTTCTGTTTGATTAACCAGCTTCATTCCTCTTGAGCTTTGGCAGAAACTAAGGGACACGCTTTGTAATTAATATTTTAGTGGCACTGACCAGGGTTGGACTCACTTCTGTTGTCTACTGTATTTTTGTGTTTCAGGTCTCAGTCTGCAGTGGAACCAGGAACTCTCCGACAAAACGATAGAGAGACTAGCACACCGCTCCTGGCCCTGGACTGAACACACACACACTCTCTCTCTCTCTCCTGAGCTGTTACACATAATCATCACACAAAGATCTTCAACACAAACATGCACAGATTTACACACAACAAATCACAACCTCCACTTTGACACATATGCATCACATATGTTTGTCTTACTATGAATGTGGGGACACTCATTGACATGTCTTCCCAGGCCCCTTAGCCTAAACTCTTCCCTGATGTCTTTCCAGACTAGAGGCTCCAGTGAGACTCAAACCAAACTGACACCATCAGCCCCTCCTAACTGCTCTCTGCCCCTCCCATCACCCCCGTTTCCTAGCGACAATGTAAAATACGGGTGCCTGGTTGGGACAAACTGCACACAGCGCAGCCTCCAGTCTGAAGCTGGCCTTAGCTGGCTAACAGTAAATGTGTCAGTCCAATAGAACACTCTGGTTACTGCTTATATGACACAAAGCCCCAGTTCCTCCCAAATTAAAATCATATTGATTCAACACAAAGGTAAAATCCTGACCATGCTAGATGGCTAATGCTACCAAAACAAACTGAAAAAACTTAGAAAAAAATCAACTGGACTTAGATTTCTAAGAATGTCCTTTGTCCAGAAACCAGAGGTCTCAGAAACCAGAAACAAGAGGGGATAACACTGTCATCCCTTATGTGGCTGGGTTATCAGAGAAGTTAAAAAGGATATTTCGCAACCACAATA